GCGTGGAGATGCTATCTCGAAGGACGAAGAACGACCGTCTACACCGACCACTGCAGCCTGAAATATTTGAAGACACAACCCAACCTTTCCAGACGGCAGGTCCGGTGGATCGACTTCCTCGAGACACACTTCCACTATGACATCGTGTACAAGCCCGGCCACAAGAACAAAGCAGACGCTCTCAGCCCGCCTGCACACGTTGCCGCGATTCAGATCGAAGGGATGAATCCACTACTCAAGGGACTCTTCACCCACGGGTACGCCATCGACCCCGAAATTCCCTTGGCAGAAAAGCGACATCTGCTACAGTGGGACAATGACATCGCATACCGGAAGGGATCCACAAAAATCTGGGTACCCAATTACCCTCCTTTGCGCCAGTTACTACTCGAAGAATACCACGACGTCCTGTACGCGGGCCACTTCGGTAGCAACAAGACGCTCACCGGTATCGCCAAACACTACTACTGGCCCCATATGGCAGACGACGTCCAGAAATTCGTCACCTCGTGTGATACATGTCAGCGGATGAAGAGCAGCAAGCAGAAAAAGGCGGGACTACTGCAGCCTCTTCCTGTCCCAGAACAACCATGGCAAGTGGTTAGCCTAGATTTCATCACCGGGTTACCACCTACCTCGCCAAGCCGATCCGATCGCCATCGCAACGATCACACCATCACGGTGGGAGACCAGGTGCTTCTTGACACCCGCAACCTGGACATCAGCCACCTCCCATCTAAACTTCGACCTCGCTTCTGCGGGCCTTTTCTCGTTGAAGCACAGGTCACTCCTGTTACCTTCCGCTTACGCCTGCCAGCTACCTGGAAGATTCACAACGCCTTCCATGTCCAACTTTTGAAGCCCTATCGAGATCCTAACACGATCTTCGTGGGACGTCAGCCGCCGCCGCCGCCGCCCGTCCTCGTCCAGAACGAACCCGAGTACGAGGTCGAGTCCGTGCTTGCACATCGTCGTCGTCGGAATGGCACCGTGGAGCTTCTCATCCGTTGGAAGGGTTATGATCCTTCTGAGGACAGCTGGGTACCTGCGTCCGCCATGGGTAACGCCCGTCGTCCTCTGCATGACTACCTTGTCAAGCAGGGTGTTACTTCTACCACCCAGCTTTGAGGGGGGGAAGTGTGAGAGTACGACCCCGTTACACCACTTGGCCTTTTCTTATTTCCTTCCCTTTTCATTTCTCTTTTTACCGCATCTCATTTGGTTTCCTATTCTTCCTTTTCCATTAACCTTTGGTTTATCCTGCTATTATCATTATATCACCGACCAGGCTTGGGATGTATTGGTGCGCTCTATCTAGCGTAATCCTGCTGTAATCCCTTAAAGCCAATAGCCTCGCGTGGCTATACGCAGGGTGATTCTATCTTCTAGAAGGGTCTATTCCCTTAGGATAAGATAAACCTGGTTACCTGATGTACTCTGGAAGTATAAAAGCGCCTTGTACTGATCGATAGTGCAACCTTTCCTCGACACATTCGATCCTGTGACAGGACTCACCAATGCACCTGCAACGTTCCAAGCAGAGATGAATCACATCCTGCGCCCACTCTTGGACGAATGCGTAGTGGTGTACTTGAACGACATCCTCATCTACTCGCGCAATATACAACAACGCGTCGAACACCTACGACGCGTCTTCGAAATTCTTCGACGAGAAAGCTTCTACATCAAACTATCCAAGAGCGACTTCGCCCTCAAGAAATTCCAATTCCTCTGACATATCGTAAGCGCTCAAGGAGTTCACGTCGACCCCAAGAAAATCGAAGCTGTGCGTGCGTGGAAAACACCCGAGAACGTGAAAGAGTTACAGCAGTTCCTAGACTTCGTTAACTACTACAACACGTTCGTGCCACAATACGCAAAGATTGTTGCGCCACTCACGAATCTGCTAAAGAAGAACACGCCCTATCACTGGGAACCAAGACATCAAGAAGCCGTGGAGCAGCTGAAACAAGCACTCACATCTGCACCCGTACTCATCTTGCCAGACCCCGAACGCAACTACGTTATTGAAGCTGATGCCAGGGACCAGGCAGTGGGAGCAGTCTTCATGCAAGACCAGGGGGATGGACTGCAACCAATTGCCTACCTCAGCAAAAAATTACATGGAGCAGAACTCAACTACCCAAGACACGACAAGGAGGCCCTGTCAATCATCATCGCCTTCAGAACGTGGAGATGTTATCTCGAAAGACGCAAAACAACAGTCTATACCGACCATTGCAGCGTAAAATATTTGAAGACGCAACCAAGCCTCTCCAGGCGATAGGTTCGGTGGATCGACTTCCTCAAGACGCACTTCCACTACGACATCGTGTACAAGCCTGGACATAAAAACAAAGCCGATGCACTTAGCCGACCTGCCCACGTTGCCGCGATCCAGGTTGAAGGGATGAATCCACTCCTCAAGGGACTCTTTACACACGGGTACACCATCGACCCCGAAATCCCTTTGGTAGAAAATCGACATCTGCTACAGTGGGACAACGACATCGCGTACCGGAAAGGATCAACGAAGATCTGGGTACCTGATAACCCTCCATTGCGCCAGTTACTACTCGAAGAATACCACGACGTCCTGTACGGAGGACACTTCGGTAACAACAAGACGCTCACCGGTATCGCCAAACACTACTACTGGCCCCACATGGCAGATGACGTACAGAAATTCGTCACCTCGTGCACTACATGTCAGCGGATGAAGAGCAGCAAGCAGAAAAAGGCGAGTCTGCTACAACCTCTTCCAGTCCCAGAACAGCCATGGCAATTGGTAAGCCTAGACTTCATCACCGGGCTACCAACTACCACAAGCGGTCATGACGCGATCCTCGTCGTCATTGACAAGTTCTCCAAAATGGGACACTTCATCCCGACACACACCACAGCACGCACCGAGGAGACAGCATAACTCTTTGTTCGCTACATGATTTCACAACATGGCATTCCGACCACACTCATCTCCGACCGAGACCCCAAGTTCACCAGTAAATTCTGGAAAGAGCTGATGTCTCTACTCGGAACAAAACTCGCCATGTCATCTGCATACCATCCGCAGACAGACGGCCAGACTGGGCGTCTTAACCAAATTGTGGAGCAAGTCCTCCGCGCAGCCTGCAAGGATGACATCTCCAAGTGGGGCTTGCATCTGCCCGTCCTGGAGTTTGCCTACAACAATGCTACTCACGCCGCTACTAGACAGACGCCATTCTTCCTCTGTTACGGACGCCACCCACTCACACCTCAACAGCCAACCATACCAGCCACTTTCCAACCTGCTCATGATTTCATCACGACCATGCACAAACTTTGGGATCGGACCCACAAGCGTCTTCTCGACATTCAGCAGCAACAGAAGCGCCAGGCCGATCGCCACCGCACAGACCACACCATCACTGTGGGAGACCGAGTACTTCTCGATACGCGCAATCTTGACATCAGCCATCTCCCATCCAAACTGCGACCTCGCTTCTGCGGGCCTTTTCTCGTTGAAGCACAGGTCACTCCTGTTACCTTCCGCTTACGCCTACCAGCTACCTGGAAGATTCACAACGCCTTCCATGTTCAACTCTTGAAGCCCTACCGAGTTCCTAACACGGTCTTCTCTGGACGCCAACCGTCGCCGCCGCCGCCCGTCCTCATCCATGATGAACCCGAGTACAAGGTCGAGCCCGTGCTTGCTCACCGCCGTCGACGGAATGGCCACGTAGAGCTTCTCATCCGTTGGAAGGGTTATGAGCCTTCAGAGGATAGTTGGGTTTCTGAGTCCGAGATGGATCACGGTCGTCGTCCTCTTCGCGACTGCCTTGTCAAGCAGGGCGTTACGTCTACCACCCAGCTTTGAGGGGGGGAAGTGTGAGAGTACGACCCCGTTCCATTCCTTTCTCCTTACCATCTTCCCTTTCCATTTCATTCCTCTTTTTATCCTGATTCATTTGGTCTTTATGTCATTCCATTTGGATTCCTCTTCCTCCTTTTCCATAAACCTTTGGTTTATCCTGTTATTATCATTATACCACCGACCAGGCTCGGGATGTACTGGCACGCTATATCTAGCATAATCCTGTTGTAATCCCTTAAAGCCAATAGCCTCACGTGGCTATACGCAGGGTGATTCTATTTCTGGGTCGGTCTATTTCCTTTGGATAGGATAAACCTGGTTACCTGATTTTTTTTGGAAGTATAAAAGCGCCTTGTATCAAATCAATAGTGCAACATTTCCTCGACACATTCGATTCTGTGACAGCTGGTCAACAGGGGCCGCGTGGCGGCTAGGTGACAGGGCCACGAGCGGCGAGGCAACGGGGCCAGCTATGCGGCTAGGTGAGGGGGCCGGCTGGGCGACGGGGCCGGCTAGGCGACGGGGCCGGATAGGCGACAGGGCCGGCTAGGTGACGGGGCCGGCTGGGCGACGGGGGTCGATTAGGTAACGGGGCCGGCAGGGTGACAGGGCCAGCTAGGCGACGGGGCCGGCTAGGCGACGGGGCCGGCTAGGCGACGGGGCCGGCTAGGCGATGTGGCCGACTAGGCGACGGGGCCGGCTAGGCGACTGGGCCGGCTGGGCTACGGGGCCGGCTGGGCCACGGGGCCGGCTAGGCGACGGGGCGAGCTAGGCGACGGGGCCGGGTAGGCGATGGGGCCGGCTCAGCCGACGGGGCTGGCTAGGCGACGGGACCGGCTAGGCTACGGGGCCGGCTGGGCGACGGGGCTGGCTAGGCAACGGGGCCGGCGGGGCGACGGGGCCGGCTAGGCGACGGGGCCGGCTGGGCTACGGGGCCGGCTGGGCGACGTGGCCGGCTAGGCGACGGGGCCAGCTAGGCGCTAGGTGACAGGGGGGCCACTAGGGGACGGGCCAGCACTGGCGGGAGGGCGACGGGGCGGCTAGGACCTACGGCTGAAGCGCTGGTGGGCGGGGGGGACCTAACCTACTCATGATACCTTATCAGAGTTAACGAATGACTTGAACCATGGCATACAAGGGAATATAACCTAGTGGGTTGTACTCTCTAAGGCACAACCCTGTGTAGCCTATAACAACATGCAACGATATGTTTGACACTAATCCTATCCAGAGGCCTGCGAACAGCTAGCTTCCAGATGGAGGGAAATTCAGAGCATGCATGCATGTGCAGAGCAGAGCATTCCTCTGCTGGCCCAGTGTCATCAGATGAATTCATTTCATGATGTATGTACACGCCTGCAGCATTTAGAGCTTTGACCTGACAGTAGCCCACTACCTAAGCTAGTAAAACCTCTCTGCCAGCCAATGTCTGAGATGAGAAATCACCGATGCCAATCATAGGAATCTGGGCCCCACTCCAAACACCCTCATGGAATGGAAGCTTATGCTTGCGTAGCATGAGCATTTAGCCACTCAAAGATGTCCTGCAGATGGACAGCATGGAGGGGTAGAAAGCATAGTGCGAAGAGATTGATGTGGGGAAAGGGAAGAGGAGAGAAGGGAGGAGAGTGAAAAAAAGAGGGGGGGGATAGGGGTGGGACGGGTGAGTGGAGTAATAGAGGGCGTAAGAATGACAAAGAAAGACCGGGTGATACTGGTCATGTGTTTACTTATGTAAACCTTCAGTGTGCTGTCAACGTGCAGTGCATGGCCAAAACGTTTCATCAGAACAACATGCTGGACATCAGTGTGCTGTATACCTTCACCAAGGAGCAAGCCATGAAAAGCTGGCGGGCAGTGTGGTCATCTCACAGCAAAAAATTGAAGCACACTGGAATTCTTCAGGGAGTCCCTCTCTTTTTCCTTCTCTTACCTTCAACCTGGTACCCCTTTCCTCACCTTGAACACGATCGCAACGTTCTCATCCAGCTCCCCCTCTGTGAGGCAGTGCCACATGCCCGGGTACAGCTTAAATGTCTTGTCAGTGCTGCGCGCCTTGTCGTACAACGACTGGCTCACTGCAGGCTCTGTCACAGTGTCAGCGTCACCATGCAGGAGGAGGAAAGGAAGGGTCACCTGACGCACATGGGGGTGATGAAGGATGATACAGAGTAATTAGAGAAAGGCAATTGCACATCGCTGCATAAAAAGAGCAAAAATTGGAATTGCGATGGAGTCAGAGGAGCAAGGAGGTGCCACGGAAAAGAAGATAACGCATGAGAATGCGGCTCACGAAGCTCATTTTTTAGCATGCATAGCAGCATAGGCTCAGCACACCTCATCAAGCCGTCGCTCGAGGTCCTCACTGGTCTGCAGCATGGTGAGGGCCGTTCGCAGGCGAGGCTTGTCGGTGAAGGTGTAAGGACTGGCCCGGATCTGCCAGGTGCATAGCCAGGAAGGGTTTGAAAACAGCATTTCTCTGTGTTAGCCCAAATTGATACAAAAACGGATAAGAAAGTGCATGTAAGGAAGAAGTATTTGTCAACGAGCACAATCCTGGCCTGCTTATGTATCACATTTCTGTCTAAAGAAACCCATACCTTTTCTCTCTTAACAGGGTCGTGGTTGGCTGCACTGATGATGTCAGAAGTGGGGACGATCTTCCACGTGGGCAGGACATAGGCGAGGTTCTTCATAATCGCAGTGACTATGGCTGGCGGCTTCACCTTGTCAGAGATCTGTACATAGGGCAACGGAAAAAAGAATTGATAAGCACACATGCAACATTCCGGCCCACGTCAGCATGAGATGGGCGATCCTCCCTCAGCTGACCCCTTTCATTCGCTCCTCTCTCGAATGTACCCCTCTCCTCAAACTTTCTTCACCACCCCACTCTCTCCCTCCTCCGAAATCCCACAGTTTTGCATGCTTGTTCCGTGCAATCATCCCGCACCTTGCACATGGGCGCCATGAGAATGGCTCCATCCCACGCTGTGGGCTCCTTGCGGTGCAGGCGGAGGGTCACAGCTCCCCCCATCGACTCGCCTATCATGAACTTGCGCTTGCCCTTGTACTCCTCCCGCTCTGCACACCCACCCACAGTCAAACATGAGCACCCGCAAAAAAACGGAACACATGCCCACATCCACGTGTGTTTTATTAGGGAAAAAGGCATTTGAGGAGAGACATCTATGTACATCATTTTTAGTGCTGGGAAGCAGTGAGGAGGACAGCTTCCGTACAATGTAAGAAGCGACAATGGCATCATGTGCTAAGAGAGGCTCCAACATGCACCAGGTTTCATTTCATTAAGTTACCTCGAATAGTGGTGAAGTAAGCGATGCAGTCATCAATGATAGTCTCAAACTGCGGAATGTGCACCGAAAGGCCTTCTGACCTGCAAATACAGCCACGATGGTTTGGTTCCAAAAGAATGGCTGCGAATGGGACAGCGACTTCTGAAATCGTTTCATGAAAACCCGAATAGTATTTAGTCTGTACCTTCCGTGGCCCTCGTAGTCGATCCCAAAAACTGCATAACCTTCCGATGCTAGTCGCTCTGCTGTAGCTGCTCAAGAGAAGCAGAGAAAAACACAAATGCAGGCACAACTTGCGGAGCAGATTTGCCATCAAATTGGAAGCGTGGAATAACCGATGAAGCAACAGGACGCTCTGGAATAGCGTGGGTGACAAATGGAGCATGCGAGGGGCTTACAGGCAAAAAAAGTTGTGCAGTCCACAGCGTAACCTGGAGAACAATCGTCGCCAAGCAAAACATCCAGGCACAGGATGAACCGCATAATTCACTCAGTCAGAATCTCGTTCAGGGAAAGCGGATTACGCCTCTCGTATTGCTCGCACCGTGGAGAAGCAGGATGAGGGCCTTCGGCTCGCCGTTTGCAGGAAGCCATGACGCGGTCTGAAGCTTCATGCCCCTCGAGTTCGTGAAGAACTCCTGTTAAGACGCGAATACGACGGGTGAGGGGCTGGCAATCACGCAATTAACGCTCTCGCATGAGCTTGAGCAAATTCTCGCAACGACTATGCTTATGCTTGAACAAAAACTCCCCCAGTCACCTCACTTACCTCGCTATACTTGATCCCTTTCGACTCCTACAACCACAGAGCGGGCAGTCCAAAGTCAGAAAAAAAACTCTCCTGCGAGCGAATGAGACTTGATAACGGGGGAGCGTGAGGGAGCGTGAGAAAAAAACAAAGTCATGACACACGTACATAGTAAGCCGCATCCTTGGCAACTGCTTCAGCCATCTTTCAATGCCCTCAAGACGAAAAGTAGTCGTAATACTGCCGTCACCCGATTACAAAGCAATCGACCAAGTAAACCGCGTGAGAGAAAAAACGGCTGCTTGCACCGCGAGCTTCTGACTGGGCCTGCTGCGTACGTCACTACTTGGGTCTTGACGGGTGGAGTGCTGCTGGAACACAAGCACAGCAGCTACACCATTTACCAGAGGGTGTACTGGGAATCCAGATCCCTCCCGCCATTTACACCAGAACTGCGGGATTGCCGACAACATGTGTTGATGCTTCAGCCGACAGGGTACCCCGCTACTGTGTTGTTGAAGCACCGAGCCAATTGCAAGCTGGTTATCTCTAGGTCACCACTTCTAATGGCTTACAGAAAATCTAAGACTGAGGAAAGTGTTGAAAAAGGAGTACCAAATTCCAGAGTTAGCCGAGGTGCTGACCTCAACTATATATAACCTCTCCAAATAAACATATACGCTAGATGAGGGTAGAGATGAACCGTGTATTTAAAAAAAAAAAAAAAAAAACAAGAGACGACGCAATCGTCTTAGGGTTGCGGAGCATTTTTATATAGATATATTTATTTAGTTTAAAATTACCCGCATGTATATGTATAACATCAAAGCATAAGTATCTGTAAACTTCTAACAATGGATTAAAACATATACTACGTAAGTATTCAATAGATGATTTGTGTTATAGTGCATTAATAAAAGTACATGCAATCACAATGTTAATGCATCTAATACAAGTAGGACATATCATTGAGTTTCTACTTTTTTTTACACTATATAGAAATGGGTTTTAAGTTATCATCGTCCGATACTGTTCTTAAATCGTGCCACGCTGTTGTTCGTTTCTGCTTGTACAGTTTCTTGAATAGTTTTGTTCCTTATTGCTCAACTGTAGACCTGTTTCCGTAATGTTTCTTTTGTTTTGTGTGCGTTTGGATTGTTTTTTTTTTAACCTTTCCGCCAAATGCCCAGCCGTCGGGAGTTTCCGTTTTCATTTTGTTTAATTATTTGTTGACTGTGGCCACTGCTGACTTGTGGCGAGCGAATCAGGCCACCTGGCAATGCTGTTATTTTTTTCCCAGTGGCGAGGTTCGTCACGCGTAACTGCAAGACGGAAATATATTCCGACGTGGCAATGACACCAGCCTAGCAACACTCGCCACAGAATGCTGATTTTTTTCCCGTCAATAAGAGGCAAAACCCCCGAGCTCGCCACTTGATGCATTACGCGTTACACACTCGAATTTCTGAGTTACACTACCGATAGTTTTGGTTAAATAACACGATTACGCGAATTTCAGTGCGATGGGGCACTTTCTGACCAAGAAAAAAACAAATCTTCTTGCAGAGCTGCAAAACCGCGGCTGTTTGAACGCACCTTCTTCGCTTGCGAGTTCAGAGCTGCAGAAACGTGAATTCCTTATGCTCGATTCTTCCTCCTCTATACTTCTGTCTCACGTTTTTCTCTTCCCCACTTTCAGCAATTCGTGATTCTAGATCTGGTGATTAGGCAGTTACATGACAGCAGCTACGACTGCCTTTTCTTATCGCAGCTGTACGACAGACTACTCCAGGTCGGCATTAAGAGTGGCTTGATGACATTTTCGTATAGTCGTATCTTACTAGTTTCTCTATGTTTCTTCTCTCGTTTTTTCCTCAAGCTAGTAGAGGAAACATAAATGGTCTCTTTCAGCTTAGGTACTCGGTACGGATTCTCATCTGTCGTTTCCCCTCTCCTTTGCCCGCCTTTTCACCCTCCTAGTCCGTCGTAACCACTTCTTTGCCCGCCGTCTCCCCCCTCCTTGCATGTCGTTTTACCTCTCTCTCTCTCTCTCTCTCTCTCTCTCTCTCTCTCTCTCTCTCTCTCTCTCTCTCTCTCTCTTTCTCTCTCTCTCTCTCTCTCTCTCTCTCTCTCTCTCTCTCTCTCTCTCTCTCTCTTTCTCTCTCTCTCTCTCTCTCTCTCTCTCTCTCTCTCTCTCTCTCTCTCTCTCTCTCTCTCTCTCTCTGCCTCTCTCTATCTCTCTTTCAACTTCTCTCTCTTCGTCTCTTTCCTTTCACCATCACATTTTGTGTTAACTTCCCATGCCCATTCGTTCTCGCCCTAGCTGCTTGTTGTTCACTCCTTTCATACGCAATGCCTAATATAATATCCACTTTAATTTTGTGCAGGTTTTCTTGTAAACGCGTTTATGAGTTCCCTACGGCATTTTGCTGTTATTCGTTGGGATGTTCAATTATCTCATTTTCAGCTTTATATTTTTATAATTGCTGGCGTCCTGTGTTTGGCCTAATGTGTCTTGCTGCTGTTATTTGCTCTCATTCTCGATCCACAGCAATGTATGTCTGTATTTCGAAAAAAAGAAAGCATGCTTATCAAATCACAAACGGTTCACAGGCGAGCTCCTTGAGTTTCTGTCTCGAACTGGATTTGATTGGTTTTGGTTCTTTTTTTTTGGAGATTACAGATTGTCTTGCTCCATCATTCAGACACTAGGCTTGCTGACTTCCCCCCCATGCTAGCGCTGGGGAAGCGGTAGCTTAGAGTTTGAGTTTTTCACTATCACATAATCATCATTTTTTTTTCATGTCATGAATGATGACATGAATTTTCTTGCACGACTCGATTGGATCCGTACACAACGATGTGATGCAATCAAACAAGAGGCCTACCAAAATTTCACAGTACACCAGAAATCAACCAAATATAATGCAAATATTATTTCAAAATATACGCATTTGATTCCTATCATAGAATAAACACCTCTAGCATTTTGTTACATTCATAATCTAAACATGAGAACAAAAGTGCAGGTAATGTTTTATTGTGCAAAGGTTTTCCATCCAAACTTTTGAGTGAAAAAAAAATTCGGCAAAATCGATCGTAATAGGTTGCTCCGCAACCCAAAAAAAAACTAAAGAAGATTACCGTGAATCCCATTCTAGTACCATATTTTTCAGAGCGAGACCTAATCTGTCACTCATGGTTAGTGGATCTCTCAAAAGTGTAATAGAACTGACTCTTTTTCGGAAAACGAGAGCAGCCATGACGAAGTATCCAAGGAATTCGGCCAGTGTTCGTCCAGTGCGGTTCAGTAGGGTTCCTCAAGTTACAAAAACCTTCCCCACCACTCCACCAGACAGAACTGAGCTGGTTGAAGCCCAAACGAACTTGCAGGACATTTTCAAAGTGAGAAGTTTGAAATGTTAACAATGATTAGGGGACGTTTAAAGTAGCGTCGGACGTCAAAATATGCTGGTCTGACGTCCGAGACCCCCGAAACCTCCCGAAGTTGGTTCGACGTAATTTTGGCACGAACTTGCACTTTTCACAATGATAATACTGACCAGACTGCCCGAAGTCAAACTTTTGGCCGACACAACATTTGAAACTTCGATGCGAACTCACACAGCACTGAATAACGAATCGTCCGGAAATGTCTTGTACAGCATAACAAACGCCAAAACTCCCGCGCGAGAGAGTTGTGGCGAATAGTGACGAGTGGGTTACTCGTTCATGCACTCTTTCTTGGGCTACCCGTTTCCTCAAAGCAAATTTTCCTGCCAAAACCAACCTCCCGAAGTACACTTGGGGAGCACCCACTTTTCACGACGACATTAGAGGTACAGTACTTCGCACTATAGGGTAACTTGTTCTCGCCAAATCTGACATGTCCGAAGCTTAACCTGTGCGCTACTTTTAACACTCCCTTAGAAACCGCCGCAATTCACAGGAAAGGTACCAAATCGCAGCGAAACCATCTGCGCCGGAAACCAAAAGGATTGGTTGTCCCTTTGAAACACCACTAGTCATCACGTGGTCCCGTCACCAAGCCAGCCATGGCGGCTGCTCAGGGCGTGGTGCCTACGGTTCGGACGGTCCAAAACCGAAATTGAGTTCCGAAGTTCCACGTATCCGAACCAGAAAGGTCTGGTATGTTGAGTTCCGAACACCCCTCTGTCTGGACAGGTAAGTCTGGTACCTTCTGTCTGAGACGAATGTCCCAAAAAAAAGTTTTTTGAATCAGACCGAAATGACGAAACAGAACGAAGATAGACGAAACCAATAAGTTCAAGAGCGAAAATACCCCAACCACCATCCCTACCAAACCACCACGCGAAGTGTCGCCATAGCGTTGGGCGACAAATGCAACTGTGTTCCCCACTCACAATTTTCGCCTTGTCGCTCGGGCACAGAAAAGTTTCGGAAATGACGAATTTCTGTTCAAACGGACGTTCGGACGCTCCGTCAGGACCCAGGGTACCACACCTTGTTCGAACGGACGGGGTATTGAGACATGGTTGGCGAACTCATGCGCGAGTAATGGCGAAAACATATTACCCTTTTCGTTTAAGGACGGAACTCAGTTCCGAAACCTATTCACCACGCCCTCACGAAGATGGAAGGTGGAAGATGGAACAGGTAGATTTCGGGATCAGCAGCAGCAGTTGGACCTGGATTCCTTGGGGCGTGGTGCAGTCGTATTCAACTGGGTACGGACTGTGCAGGTTACTGCAATCGCAGACCTCGTAAAGCTGTCATGAATTAGTTTTTTTTTTTTTTTTTTTTTGAAAGGCTGTATTCGCGAGACGGGTCTAGACTTTCGTCCAGACTCTTGTTTCGCACGGTACGACTGCACCACGCCCTTAGAGCGTGTTTCAGGTGAGGCACACTGATATCACCAGGAGTACAGCTAATACCGGACTCCTGTAGCATCTTAGCTCTTGAGCTCGCCATTCACAATCCATTTTGTATGAGCGATCCCGAAATGTGTAGCCAGTCCCAGCTGCCGATTAATGCGCATGTCCGCTCGCGACGGCGACCCTAGCATGCCCGTCTGTTGCTGCGTTCGACAGCGCAACCCTCACGATATTTGCAGCGGCATCCAAGGGCTTGCGAAAAATCGTTAGCTCGTTTCTCTCCCTCCCTCTCTCCCCCTCTCCTTCTCCCTCTCTTCCTCTCGCTTCCCCCTCTCCTTATATCTCTGATCTCGCAGAATCTCACACGTTTGAAGTAGCCTCAGCGCCCTTCTCTCCTCTACAATGCGGCAGTAATCTGAGCCCCCTCGAGGCGCGATCCCATCCCAAAATCCTATAATCCCACAATCCTTCAATCCCATAATCCTATAATCCCAGATTCACACATCCCCGGAGTTGTCACCGTCCCATGCATGGCTCAGCGCCTCAATCCTCGCGTTGCCGCCACCGCAGCTGCAGCCGCAGCCGCTGGGTCTACGGCCTCCAGCTCTGCGGGCAACTCTGCGATTCTCGACCCCGACTCTGACGACGCTGTCGCCTCCTCTGCGGCGTCGCCGATGACGTCGGCCGCCGCGTCGTCCGCGGGTGGAGGCGGCCATGACGACAGCCCTGCGACGCTGAGCGACGCCGAGCGACGTCGCATGGCGGGGCTGGGCGGCAGCGGGGTGAGCGTCGGCGGGGTGCCGCTGTCGCGGAGGCATCGCACTGTGGCGGCGTTCGTGGTGATGTCACTCGTGCTGGCTGCTTACGTCATGGGTGTGGCTCCCTCCCTGCCGGGCTTGGGACGAGCTATCTTCAGAAGGAAGTGAGGATAAGTGACGGTGGTGGATGATGGATGGTGGATGGTGGATGGTGGATGGTGGATGGTGGATGGTGGATGGTGGATGGTGGATGGTGGATGGTGGATGGTGGATGGTGGATGGTGGATGGTGGATGGAGGTTGGGGAGAAGGGGGTAGGGGGTGATGGATTGAAGGTTGAGGTTGGCACTACGAGCACAGTACCTCTCTCTCTCTCCCCCACCCCCCCCCACCCTACCCCACTCTCTCTCTCTCCTCCCTCCCATTTCCCGTATTCTCGCCCCATCTCTCCTGTCCCATCCATCGAAGCATCGATGGGTGCCCATACCTTTTCCGCTCCCGCCTCTCTCTCCCCTCCTTCCCTTGTGAGCCCACACTTCCCTGTCCCCCTCTCCATTCGCCCCCACCCCCTCCCCCTCCCCCCCCCCAAGCCGCGCGTCCGGCCCCTCGGACCCTCTCACGCGGTGGACGCGACGGCTGGCGGAGGGCGCAGCGCTGGCGGCCGTGCGCGAGGGCATCCGCCCCCTGCCCTTCCGCGAGGGGCACGCGCTGGTGCGCCCGAAGCGCCGCAAGAAGCAGGCAGAGGGGGACGGCGAGGGGGGGGGAGGGGGAGGGGGGGGTACAGAGCGCCTGAGGGGGTGGAGGAGGCGGACGAGTGTGGGGTGCCGAGGAGGGTGGGGCGGTGTGGGGTGCGGCGAGGGGAGAGGGTGCATGTGGCGGTGGTGAGCCAAGGGGCGCAGCGGAACGCGCTGGTGCTGGTGAGTGCGGCGAGAGGGGGAGCTTGGGAACCGTTCTAAGTAGGGGAGATCCTCCTTCTGCCCATCCCCCCCGCTTCCCTTTTCCTCAATGCTTCCCCCTCATTCCTCATTCCGGCGCCCCTCCGGAATACCGTCACCAGACCTACTCTGTGCCGCAACCCACCTTTCGACACACACACACACGCGTTGCTGCCCCTCTTCCTCCCCTCCCGCCATGTTCAACCCCCCCCTCTCCCCTTGTTCCCTCCCCTCTACTCCACCCCCCCCGTGCAGTCTCAGCTGCGTCTGCTGATGTCATCAGTGGCGGCGCACACCAGGTGCCCCCTCACCTTCCACCTCGTCATCCCCCGCACCGACCTCAACGCCACTCTCTCCGCCCTCCGCGCCTTCCCTGCGGTGCGCATCCACCCCCTGCCAAATCCTTTCATCACCATCACCTCCCCCCTCTCCACCAACGCCAGTGGAACAACCACCGCCAGTGCTGCTGATGGCAGTGCAGCAGCTGACGCTGCTTCCTCCGCTGCGGGATCTCTCCAGTTTGACGCTGTCGGTGCTTCATCCGGGTATCAAGAGTCCAAATCAGATCTTCGGAAACTGTCTGCTGTGCCGTTCCTCCTCGCCATCCACTCTCTCCCCACGCGCTGGCTCGGGGCCCAAGCCAGGCTCCTAGGCACGCATCCGAACCTGTCTCCCGACGGACCTGCTGCGTTGGGTCGGTTTCTCTTAGCGGATATCCTTTGGCAGGTTGACGCCGCGATTTTGATGCAACCAGATGTGATTGTAGGGGGGGACGTGCAAGAACTATGGAACATGATCGAGAAGAGCAAGGGAACGAGCGATCTTCTGTCTCTGATTGTTCCCCTAGAGGAGGTACAGGTGGTGGGGCGTGGGGGGGAAGAGGAGCATTTGCAGCAGCGGCAGCAGCAGGGAGGGTTGTTGGGGATGGGGGGGTGGTGGAGGAGAGCTAGAGCTCGTATATCGCTTGATACGATGCGAGTGGGGAATGGCGTGCTGCTGATGAACCTGGAACGGCTCAGATTGCATGGCACAGGCAAGGTGAGTGTTGTGGGGGCGCGTCTTGCTTGCACTTGTGTGTTACGTGTCTGTGTTGGGAAAACTCGAAAGCACGTACGGCTTAAAGCTATTCATCCTTCAGTTGCCTGGGTACAGTGGTGATCATGGAAGGGAATCAGGTTGCTTGCCGAATGAGAGAGAGTTATGCTCCTGCTTCAAAAGCTGCAAAAAAATCGTTTTTGACTCTTTTTCTACCATTCATGTGAGGACGGTGCCACTCAGTGTTGTACCATTCCACAGAAATCCAGAAGGCCAGGCCTTCGTTTAGACTCCTTTCACTGTGTGCATTTCAGGGGTGTGTTGCTTCTCCAGTTTCCGAAGCCTTAAGACACACACATGTATCCCCCGGTTTTTCACCAACCCCTTCCCCCACTTCATCATGACCCTCCTTCCATACAGCTTCTTTCCCGTGCGCTGCAACACCGTCCTCTCGCCTCCGAGCCCCTCTTTGACCACGACCGCCTTGAATCCTCCCTCTTCCACGTCGTCTGCCACAAGTTCCCACGCACCTGTGCCCCTCTATCCCCTCTTTGGGCTATTGACGGTTGCTCTCCCGGTGTTCCTTTTTCCGGATTCTCTTCTCATGGCCGAGATGCTGCCACAGGAATGTGCTGGATGCTTGTGCACATGCATTGCCAAGCACCTGTGCATGCAGATAATGTGATTGAGGTGAAAGGGACGGGACAAGGAGGGGAAGTGGAGGGTGGCTATGGGGGTTTGAAGGGAGGAGAGGGGAGGGAGCAGGAGAGGGAGGATGTTGCATCTGTGTATCGGCTGCCAGAAGGGTCTGGATGGGAAGAGGCTGTCCAGTTTGCAATGAACTACTTCGCAGCAAATGATGGGGATGCCAGGGGGAGATAGTTCAAATGGGAAACTCACTCTCCCTGCACCTGTCCTGCATGATATTTGTGACACTTTCTGATAGGAGAACATGCGATATGCACTTCATTACCATGTCAGTATCAATCAACCTAGTGTGTCAGCATGTGGCCTTGGGGAGTGTGCTTTGAAGCTCTTCAGCCTACACCCAGTCACAATTGTCAGTCAGAATGGCTTGTTTGTATCAGAAAGAATAATTGGACTCGAATGAGTGAGTACAAGGGTCTTTAGACTAGGGTGTTGTACCTGTCAAAAGACTAGCTTAGCTAGGAAGCCATAGAATGGCACAAGGTTTAGCTAGGAGCTAGGAGGAGCCATGAGAATGGCGAGAGGTTTTAGGTGCTAGGAAAGTTGAGGAGAGGAAAAGAGAGTTGGATTAGGAAGAGAGAGGAGTACAAGGAGGGGTTTGTACCCTCTACAGAAAAGGTTCAGTAACAACCTACCAAGCCTATATAAATTATAACTTATATAATTTTAACACAACCCCTAGGCTTGGTAGTCACACACCCATACACACCCACACCCCCTAACCTAGCACCCCCATTCCAGCCACAGTGACAGCGACTCTAGGTCGGTCGACCCCACGGCGCGTGAGGCGGCGACGTCGACCGCAGGGGCTGCGGCGGCGACGGCGGCAGCGGCGGCAGTGTCGACAGCGGCGGCGGCGGCGGCGTGCGGCTGCGTGGCCCCGACGCAAGCGGCGACAGCGGCGGCGGCGGCGGCTTCGATAACAGCGGCAGCGGCGGCGGCACCCGCACCTCTCGGTGACGTGGCCTGGCCCCGCGACTGTGGGACGGCCGGCGGGAGTCAGCCGTCGTCTGCGGAATGGAAGAGGGCGCAGGGGAAGGAGGGGGGGTGGGGGGGGGGGCGGCGCCACAGGCTGACATGCGGGCGGCCGGTCTAGCGGCGCCACAAGCGTCACGCGGCCGGCTGCAGCCCGACGACGCCGTCATGGAGCGGCGTCGATGCCGCAGCGGGGCGTCGACGCTGCGACGGCAGCACGACGTCGCTGGTACGCCGACTGCGCGCTGTCGCGTAGACGCCGCGGCAGCGTGACGGCGCCGTCACGTCGCGACAGCATCTTGACGCGACGGCGGAGCTGCGGCACGACGGCGCGGCCACAGCAGCTGGACGCGGGCGCCATGGACGTCGACAGCGGCGCCGCGGCACGACGACGCGGCCACAGCAGCTTGACGCGGCCGCCATGGCAGCGCGAGATAGAGAGAGAAACGAGCACGCAGCGGAAACGCGAGGAGCAGGCCCACACGGAACGAACTGCTCTAATACCATGTCAAAAGACTAGCTTAGCTAGGAAGCCATAGAATGGCACAAGGTTTAGCTAGGAGCTAGGAGGAGCCATGAGAATGGCGAGAGGTTTTAGGTGCTAGGAAAGTTGAGGAGAGGAAAAGAGAGTTGGATTAGGAAGAGAGAGGAGTACAAGGAGGGGTTTGTACCCTCTACAGAAAAGGTTCAGTAACAACCTACCAAGCCTATATAAATTATAACTTATATAATTTTAACAGTACCATCTAAGACACAATCCAATATCGTCTACAGTAACGACCTAAGTTACATTCAACACACCCCCTAGACAATATAGGGGCAATGCCTAATAGGGAAAGAAGCAGCTCAGGGCGGCACTACTAGTCCAGCCTCTGAGGCAAGGGTTTAAAGCACGTGGCTAAAATAGCATTCGAGACAAGCTATTAATTTCCACTTGAAAGTGATGCAATCCTACTTTGTAGCTTGTGGAACTCAAACATAGATTCAGATTTAGGATAAACCAGAAAGTCGCGAAACGACTTGCGCGTCAAAAAGCTGACCGGAAAAGTGCATGCGACCTACACTGCGACAGTAAAAGTTGCACAACAATTGAGATGGCGGGAAAACAAAACACTCGCACGCAGCTTGCTCAACCCAGCTGAATGTACCAGTAGAGCGATCCACAGCACACAAAATCGTGTCGCCCTAGAGCAAGCGAACCTTACGCAACTCGAACGCACTGAGGGTGCACCTCCAGGGCAGGGACGTCATCAGCGACCTTAGCGGCGGTAACACAATACACAGACGCGCATAGGCGGGCACGTATGTAGCCACATTGTGACCAAGGCAGGGAGACGCGCAAATGCAGGGAGACTCGCTAAGGCAAGGAGACGCGCTAAGGCAGGGAGACGCGCTATGGCAGGGAGACACGCTATGGCAGGGAGACGCGCTAAGGCAAGGATACGCGCTAAGGCAGGGATACGCGCTAAGGCAGGGAGACGCGCTAAGGCAGGGAGACGCGCTAAGGCAGGGATACGCGCTAAGGCAGGGAGACGCGCCAATGCAGGGAGACACGCTACGGCAGGAGACATACTCATGTCTCCGTTCCCAACCCAGGGACTGGACCACGTCTCTGCAGTCCGCGGGATCCCATTATCTCACAGACCACCCCCCCCGCCCCTCTGCCCCCCCTCCTCCCCCCATCTCGCCCTCTCTCAGCCCCCTCGAATGCCGAGATGACCTCAAAATTGCAACCCTACTAACACCCACACAGCCCCGCACCCATCATCCCCTCCTCGCGCCAACCCAAACCCCCACCCCCCCCCCCCCCCCCATCCATGCCATGCCCTGCCCTGCTCTGCCCTGCCCTGCCCTGCCCTGTCCTGCCCTGTCCTGCCCTGCCCTGTCCTGCCCTGCCCTGCCCTGCCCTGTCCCGCCCTGTCCTGCCCTGCCCTGCCCTGCCCTGCCCTGCACTGTCCTGCCCAGTCCTGCCCTGCCCTGTCCTGCCCCGTCCTGTCCCGTCCTGTCCTGCCCTGTCCTGCCCTGTCCTCTCCTGCCCTGCCCTGTCCTGCCCTGCCCTGCCCTGTCCTGTCCTGTCCTGTCCTGTCCTGCCCTGTCCTGCCCTGCCCTGCCCTGCCCTGTCCTGCCCTGTCCTGCCCTGCCCTGTCCTGCCCTGCCCTGCCCTGCCCTGCCCTGCCCTGCCCTGCACTGTCCTGCCCCGTCCTGCCCTGCCCTGTCCTGCCCCGTCCTGTCCCGTCCTGTCCTGCCCTGTCCTGCCCTGTCCTGTCCTGCCCTGCCCTGTCCTGCCCTGCCCTGCCCTGCCCTGCCCTGTCCTGCCCTGCCCTGCCCTGCCCTTTCCTGCCCTGCCCTGCCCTGCCCTGTCCTGCCCTGCCCTGTCCTGCCCCGTCCTGCCCTGCCCTGTCCTGCCCCGTCCTGTCCTATCCTGCCCTGCCCTGCCCTGCCCTGCCCTGTCCTGCCCTGCCCTGTCCTGCCCTGCCCTGTCCTGTCCTGCCCTGTCCTGCCCTGCCCAGCCCTGCCCTGCCCTGCCCTGTCCTGCCCCGTCCTGCCCTGCCCTGCCCTGCCCTGCCCTGCCCTGCCCTTTCCTGCCCTGCCCTGTCCTGCCCTGTCCTGCCCTGCCCTGTCCTGCCCTGTCCTGCCGTGCCCTGTCCTGCCCTGCCCTGCCCTGCCCTATCCTGCCCTGCCCTGTCCTGCCCTGTCCTGTCCTGCCCTTTCCTGCCCTGCCCCGTCCTGCCCCGTCCTGTCCTGTCCTGCCCTGCCCTGCCCTGTCCTGTCCTGTCCTGCCCTGCCCTGCCCTGCCCTGTCCTGCCCTGCCGTGTCCTGTCCCGCCCTGTCCTGCCCTGCCCTGCCCTGCCCTGCCCTGCCCTGCCCTGCCCTGCCCTGCCCTGCCCTGCCCTGCACTGTCCTGCCCCGTCCTGCCCTGCCCTGTCCTGCCCCGTCCTGTCCCGTCCTGTCCTGCCCTGCCCTGCCCTGTCCTGCCCTGCCCTGCCCTGCCCTGTCCTGCCCTGCCCTGACCTGCCCTGCCCTTTCCTGCCCTGCCCTGTCCTGCCCTGTCCTGCCCTGCCCTGTCCTGCCCTGTCCTGCCCTGCCCTGTCCTGCCCTGCCCTGTCCTGCCCTGCCCTGCCCTGTCCTGCCCTGCCCTGTCCTGCCCTGTCCTGTCCTGCCCTTTCCTGCCCTGCCCCGTCCTGCCCCGTCCTGTCCTGTCCTGCCCTGCCCTGCCCTGTCCTGCCCCGTCCTGCCCTGCCCTGTCCTGTCCTGCCCTGTCCTGCCCTGTCCTGTCCTGCCCTGCCCTGTCCTGCCCTGCCCTGCCCTGCCCTGTCCTGCCCTGCCCTGCCCTGCCCTGCCCTGTCCTGCCCTGCCCTGTCCTGCCCCGTCCTGCCCTGCCCTGTCCTGCCCCGTCCTGTCCTGTCCTGCCCTGCCCTGCCCTGCCCTGTCCTGCCCTGCCCTGTCCTGCCCTGCCCTGTCCTGTCCTGCCCTGTCCTGCCCTGCCCAGCCCTGCCCTGCCCTGCCCTGTCCTGCCCCGTCCTGCCCTGCCCTGCCCTGCCCTGCCCTGCCCTTTCCTGCCCTGCCCTGTCCTGCCCTGTCCTGTCCTGCCCTGTCCTGCCCCATCCTGTCCTGCCCTGCTCTGCTCTGCCCTGCCCTGCCCTGCCCTGCCCTGCCCTGTCCTGCCGTGCCCTGCCCTGTCCTGCCGTGCCCTGCCCTGCCCTGTCCTTCCCTGCCCTGTCCTGCCCTGCCCAGCCCTGCCCAACCCCATGCTGCCCCCCTGCCATGCAGACCCCACACCGAAGTTGAAGCGTGCCCGCATTACCACCCCAGCCTCCGCACAGCGCGCAGTCTAGCCCATGTGGTAGGCCTCCTGTTTCCTCACCGGTTTGCATGCCGCCTATGCTTGTTTGTCCACCCATTCTGCCCTATGTGTCTACACATACCGTATTCGTATCTAACACTATATGTTTGTACTTGTGCCTGTCCTATCATGTCGCCCTTGACGTGACGGCGAAGCGAAGACTGACACTTGAGATTTATGAGGGCTAGGATGGCAGATCTCTCCTCTCACCTACTGTTCTTTGGTGCATGGCATTCTGCAATCCTTGTGTAATTGCCACTATGCATATTAGTGCTTTCAACTTGGTAGCGTTCATAGAGCATTGCCTAATCAAGTGATCACTCCTTCTCTTCCATGTGTAATGAGCCAAACGTAACATATATCAGCTTGGGCAGCCGCACTCTTGCATACATGTGATCCCCCAGCAGCCCGGAGTAGTCCAAGTAGCAGAGGCAGCGAAGGAGCCTGGTTGCTCCTCATGGCTGCCGAGGGAGGGGACAGAGACGAGGGAAGGGAACAACTGAACTGGTTGCA